CATGTTCAGGTAAACTGACAAGTGAGCTAGTTTGTGGTTTTAGATCTTTCATGCTGTCCGATGCTGCCATCCACTGTTTCACGGTGGAATCAATGTATTCTAGTGCTTGTTCCAAGACGAAAAAAATCTCCCACATAGCCCTGCTTCTTTCCTCCAAATTCTGTGCTAAAAAAACATTTCTTGATTCCGAGTCAACCATATCTTCTGTTGTGTATGCTACCTCTGCGATTTCAACTTCCAAGATTGTTAACCCCTCATGATCGCCCATTATATTGCAGGATTTCTCCAGAATAGCTCTCAAAGATTTGAGCTTTTCATAAAACGGTTGCAAATCACATCCAGTAAGTTCCATTGATTGATGTATGGTTCTCATAAGGGAAGTAACAGCAGCATAAGCCATATATCCAAAAAATAGAAATATCTCTCAGTATGAAAATGGACAAATTGCCACAAGTTATGTAATTTTTCAGTTTTTAAGAAAACAGAAAATGCAAAGTTCTTTCTTTTACTAGCTATTTCCATCACATTTCCAGCTAGGTCCACCAACCTTATCATCATGTAGACAAAAGCAGAGACCAAAGTTAAAAAAAAGTAGAAAAATTTGTGATCATTCATTATTAGACCGTACACATATCTATTCATGAATATAAGTATGCTTCTTACATACAAGAGATTGATGATTTTAATTACATTGAAAGCAACTTAGTAGAATTTTCCAAATCAAAGAGAGAAATATTAAGATCCAAGTAGGAATTTCTCTATTCCTAGTTCGATTCAATTAACCAAGCATAAATATCTCTTAATATACATGAGAAGTTTAGACTCTAAAAGTCAAATCAACAAAATATTTATGGGCTAACACATGAAAAACTATTGAGAAAATCGCCTAATTTCTGTAAATTGGCCCTTAAATCTCCAAAATGAACTCTAAAAATTGTCAGACTGTACGTATTGCTCCCCAACTCCCTACTGAGGGTTCTGTAAAGATTTCGATTAGAATTCGTCCGTAAGTCATATCACCAATATATTAATGACTAACACACACGAAAAACTGAGAAAATTGTCTAATTTCTTGAAATTGGCCCCTAAATGCCTAAAATGGACTCTAAAAGTTGTGAGACTGTACGTACTGCTCCCCCGACTCCCTACAGAGGGTTTCGTAAATGTGTAGCAAAGAAATCGTCTGGAAGTCATATCACTATAATATTAATGGGCTAACACACACAAACCACTGAGAAAGTCGCGTATTCCTGTAAATTGGCCCCTAAATGCCCAAAATGAACTCTAAAATTGTGAGACTATGTACTGCTCCACTAACTCCCTATGGAGGGTTCCGTAAAGATTTCACAAAGAAATTATTCGGAAGACATATCACCAAAATATTTATGGGCTAATACATTTTTATTTGTCCATTTGATTTGACATATCTTTCAAGTACTTTGATCTGGTTATACTTTTTTTTTATTGCTAAAAATAAATATCCACTTTTACTTGTTCATTCTACAAAACAAAGACAATATTTTATTGCTTGATTCAGATATAAAATTTGAGTAGGCTAATTTACAAACCATCTGTAGTCATCCTGCCCCTATGCTATAACATTTGAAAGAAAGAGGTCATCATCATCATATTCATCATCGTTGTCATCTTCATCATCATCTTCATCATCGTTGTCATCTTCATCATCATCTTCATCTTCTTCATCATTATCATCATCATCATCATGATCGTCATCGTCACTTGTTTCCTCACTGTTGAAAAAGCCAGCAACAAAAGATGAAAAATGAAATGTTATGCAAGTATAACAAGTTACACAATTACTATATTGGAAGGATTTAAATCATATACAATGACAACGTATGAACTTTTACACTATAGGTGCCATTTAACTGCTTATTAAAGCAATTTATAATTATTTTATTACTAGTTCTGGACACGTGCTTTGCATGTGTATATTACACGTTTAGTCACGATTGTAAGAGGGTGTACACCAGGATCATTCGAAGAGCAAAGTCGTGTGAGCCTTACAGATATTCTTGACGTACTCCTATTAAAATCTGTATCATATTCGTAACTTTTTGAATGAGGTTCACCTTTTTCCTCATTGTACTTTGTACATGGATGTTGTCCATCACAATATCCCCTTTTTCAAATTTCATAGCTGAACTACTAGGTGTACGAGTTCCTACCAGAACTACTACCAACTATTTATCAAAACACACATCAACTATATATGAGTTGTTCCCTTTTACTAGTGGTGACAAATAGGTGGATTTGGACGGGACTGAAAATGGATTGAGCAACATGGTCGTAACTCACTTAATCTCTTAAAGCCAGAAAACTTTAAAGAGTTAATTGAAATAAACTTAATGACTATCCTACTTGAAGTATCACCGTCGTTCAGGTAAGAAAAAGGAAGTATATCAAGGAAGAAGATGTCTTACAAAGCCTGATGGATATGGACCTCGATAGAACCTCCATAGTTGTCTTGAATGTCCTGTTGAATCTGCTTTGCGGAATTCCCAACAGATTCTGGGCAGTTTCTTATATAGATTAGAGCAAGTGTGGTTATATCTGCAAAATCTTGAGGGATTGAGTCCAAAAACCTGCAACTATCAAGAAATAGTCGTTCAAGGCACGGAAAGTGATCACAACTAGCTCTCCAGTACTGAATATGTGATCTTTTAAGTAACAAGAACTTCAAAAAAGGAAACCCTTCCTCAGCTACTTCCCACTCCCTGCCTCTGCATACACCCTGTGTTAGTTCAAGAAGTTCAAGTTTGGGCAATTTTCCGACAACAATGCTTAAATCCTTCCATGACAAGAAGAAATTTCCTGTAAAAGTTAAATTCTTAAGGTTTCGTGGAAAAGCATCTGGAGGAGGTAAGATCAAAGATGGAACAACTTCTACAACAAGTGGATTCCTTGTCTGAAAACACATTCTCCTCTCCAAAAAGTAAGCATTATTTTGAGGAGGAAGACAAAATGCTAGTTCCTCGAGATGATCTAAGTAGCGAAAATCATAGAGGTCTTTGTGACTATGGAAGTCTTGTGGGATGCCACGTACTTGCAACTCCTTTAAATTGGGAAATAGTCTAAAGAAAGATGCAGTACAATAGCTAGGATTCCATCCAAACAGAGAATGTAAATTTTTCATAACCAAACTTTTCTCTGTAAGCTCATGATATCGCAAGTAATTCCGATCCAAATGAAGGTGCCTCAACTGTGGCATTGTCAAAATATCTGATGGTAATATCAAAGCATGTTTACGAAGATTAATGACGAGTGGAAGGTAAAGTACCAAACTTTGCAGATAGCATAGGTTTGATATGGATGTAGGAATGTCTACTCTTGATGAGAGAACATCTTCTTCGGATCCTAGATATTGCTCAACGTTAGGATAAATACGCAAAGCTAGGTGTCTTAAGTGAATCAAATAAAGTATTTCACGGGGAAAAGTTAGACAGATATTATCAGCAAGATCTAGAACTCTTACTAGCTTGAACGGCAAGTACTCCCTCATGCAACATCGGAATCTACCAAATAAGATAACAGAATGAGCTTCACTGTTAAGGCACCTAACATACTCTTTCTTATTATGGATGCTGATTCGACTTCGACTCTTAGACAAACACTGCATGGATTTCACATATGAATTTTGATCATTCTTTCTTCTGAGAACATTCACAAAATTCATGTTACGAGCTTCCATCAAACAGAGTTCACGAGTCATATCATGAATTCCACAACACTTAATTTTTCCATCAAAAGTAGTACTTTTAATGGAAATTAAACTTCTATCAATAAGATCTTGTAGGTACTTTTCTGCCACTTCTTCTATGCTTTTCATCTCTTCTACCTTCAAAAATCCCTCTGTTTCCCACAATATCATAAGTTTATTGACAAAAATCAGTTTATCCTCTGGGAAGATTGCGAAATATAAAAAGCATGGTTTTAGGTGGTGAGGCAAGTAATGGTAACTCATTGCCAACACCCTCATGCATTGGACACCAACATCTGTGCTTACTGCTGAACTTACATTTTCAGCAACACTTTGCCACTCACTCAATGCTTTGTCAATTTTAGTGAGAAGTCCCGCGATCACAACAATTGCTAGAGGCAATCCTCCGCATTTCAATGCAATTTGCTTTCCAAGTTGTTCATATTCAGGGGAGAAAGAGTCTTTCGTAAAGACTTTTTCATATAATAAATTCCAACTTTCGTCAAAATTCATGAGGCGCATGTGATGAGGAAGCTTACCTGAGCTAGCATATTCAGCCACTTCCACATTCCGAGTAGTCAAGAGTATTCGGCTTCCATTATGAAAGTCTGGGAAACATATTTGTATATCATCCCAAGCTTTTGTAGTCCATATGTCATCAATGACTACCAAATATCTCTTGCCTTTTAGAAGCTTTTGCAGTCGATCTGCTAGTTGCCCGTCATGTAGCTGATCATAAGGTTTATCACTTATACAAGAAAGAAGGTCTAGGAAAACATTTCTCACACAATACTCTTGTGAAACAGTAGCTTTTGCACGTATGTCAAAGCGATACATCATGCATGGATCGTTGTAGAGTTTTGTTGCCAAAGTTGTCTTGCCAATGCCTCCCATACCTACAATTGATACAACTTCTAGTTCTCTTTCTCCTCTAGCAAGTTGATCCAGCATCATCTTGAATTCATTTTCATAGCCAACCATTATAACCTCGGACCGCTCAACAGCAAGTTCAGGTATCTTGGATAGACAGAAATTTTGTGCTTTGAAATCTTTAATGTTGTTGTACCAGTCCCATATTGCCAACCACTGCATCATGAAGGAATCAATACATTCTACCTCTTGTTCCAAGGAACAACAGAGTTCCCAGAAAGCTTTGCTTCGTGTAATTACAGTTTCTGCAGAAGAAACTTTTCTTGATTTCGAATCAACCATGTCTTCTGCTTTGAATGCTACCTCCGTGATTTCAACTTCCAAGGTTGTTAACCCCTCATGATCGCCCGTTATATTGCAGGATTTCTCTAGAATAGCTCTCAAAGATTCGAGCTTTTCATAAAACGGTTGCAAATCACATCCATTAAGTTCCATTGATTGGTGTATGGTTCTCATAAGGGAAGTAACAGCAGCATAAGCCATATATCCAAAAAATAGGAATCTCTCACTCTCAGTATGAAAATGGACAAATTAATTGCCACAAGTTATGTAATCTTTCTTTTACTAACTATTTCCATCACATTTCTAGCTAGGTCCACTAACAGGATAAAGTAGAAAGATGTGAGGTCACTAACCTTATCATCATGAAGACAAAAGAAGAGACCAAAGTTAAAAAAAAAAAAAGACGAAAAAGTAGAAAAAATTGTGATCATTCATTATTAGACCCTACACTAATCTCTTCAGAAAAATAAAATAAAATTTTAGTTTAAATAAAGGAATTCAAGCTGTATATTGATAACGTCCAATTCAAATTCAAGTGTAGTACGGTCTAGCAATAATAAACTCAACAAAAGTTGGAGTCGAGGAGTACGCTTGTGTCAAGGTGACAGAGAGTGTGCGAATTTGCTAACAAACAAAAGGTCTTTCTTTTAGCTAGGTCCATAATCCATGTAGTGCTCTATACTCTCTAGTCTCTATCAACCAGCTCAAGTTTAAGGGTGTGTTTGGTATGGAGGAAACATTTTCTCTAGAATAGGGAGAGATTTGTGCATAAACAAGGAAGAATCTCTCAGTATAACAGTGAATGGGTATTTTTTTAAGATTTGCTTCTTTTGTGTATGACTTTTGTAAGAAACATTCTGGTAAAAGTTAAAAAAAATGATCTTGTGGAATAGCCACAGTGAATTCCTTAATATTCGAGTAGAAAAAGCCAGAGAGGATAACATTGCTATTTGTACACTTATCGTGACACGAGTAGTCTCTTAAATATTACACCTTTCTACTGATGTTGCTGATGCCACTGGATTTAGCCTTCCGTCTTCCTTTGCAAGGTAGATCGAGGACTCCCAAGAAAGGAAACACAAGTTACTGGAGTCTGTTCTGGCCTATACAGTATGTATGTACATAAAATTTGGAGTATCTAAAAACCACTGACAAATGGCTATACGAAAGATCATATACAATTAAATTACAAGCCATTTGCAATCATCCTGCCCCTTTATGCAGAATCTTTTCAAAGAAAATGAAAACGAACAAAACAAACACTCACACATTTGGCTTCTGATTTGACATTTATTTCAGAGAACTGGCTAGTCGCTGCAGGAAAAAAAAAGACGCAAAAAATGGAAAATAATATGTTAGATGTCCCATAATTAAGGAACAAGAGAACATTATAGCAAGAATGAGCATGCAGGTATAAGAACTTACACATTATTGCGGCAAGAAGCAACTTCTTTCTCAAAGTCATCATCATCATCTTCATCTGTTGTTACACTATCGAAAATGCTAGCTACAAAAGATGAAAAATGAAATGTTACACTTCCCAAAATCAAGAATGAGCATGCAAGTATAACAAGTTACACAATATTGGAAGGATTCGAATCAATCACAATGACAGCATCAAGAACTTTTGTTGAATTGGTGTAATTTGACTTACTAAAGCTATTATCCAGATTATTATCGAGTTTACTATAATGATGAGTTAAATATTGTTGTAAATCAAGGAAGAAGATGTCTTACTAAAGATTACGAGTATGGACCTCGATAGAGCTTCCATAGTTGTCTTGAATGTCCTGTTGAATTTGCTTGGCGGAATTCCCAACAGATTGTTGACAGTAATGTATATCAATAAGAGCTAGTGTGGTTATATCTGCAAAATCTCGAGGGATTGAATCCAAATACTCGCAATTTCTAAGAAAAAGTCGTTCAAGGTACGGAAAGTGATCACTACTAGCTCTCCAGTACCGAATGTATATTTGATCCAGAAACAAGAACTTCAAGTGAGGAAACCCTTCCTCAACTACTTCCCACTCCTCGCCTATGACGGCATTGTGTGATAGTTTAAGGACCTCGAGTTTGGGTAATTTACCAACAATGCTCAAATCCTTCCATGCCAAAAGGAAATCTCCTCTAAAAGTTAAACTCTGGAAAAGATTAATTAACAAAAATTTATGGTACTAATTGGGGTATTAATTAACATATCCTTACTTGATCACATATGTATTGTTCTGTGTGAAATTTTCCTCTGACTGATAGTTGACTAAATTATATTGCATACGTTCGTGTACATTTTCTCACTTGGAAGAGTGGATTTGGACGTAATTAACTATCACCATCGTTTAGGTAGAAAAAAGAAAATAACTAATAGTTGAATGTTTTAATACATAGATGATCAACTAATATGAGAAGAAAAGAGTAGCGTAAATGTGAGATTCACTTCTCACCAAGAATCCTCCTTTCTTATTATTTTCCTTTTAGAGGTTAATAATTATTAAGTATCCCTAGAATAATTTATTGAAAAAGTAGATTTGAAAGAAAGCAATTACTCTCTTCTTCCTATGCGGGACTTCTTGAACATAACTAATTTGACAAAAACCACAATTTTATTTATTTTTAGGTGGAATTATATCAATAAGGAACTATATATGCTTATGATATTAATCTAAGACCATTATTTGTTACTTGAACACATGGATTCATCATCTGAACAATTGAAACAATTAATACTTGTGTGAACCTTTTTTTATTTCGAGTGATGTGTCATAATCATTAGCCAACTAAGACTAGCGTTAAATTTTTGGTAAGTCTCAAGAAGTGTAATTAATACTTAATAAAATAATCTCATCCTTGAGATTCAAGAACTTGTTTGGATTGAATAGGTTTTTATCATCAAGATCTAGAACAAAGTCTTAATATTAGTAAGAGGTATTTTTGTGTGAAAAGTTTTCTTTGAGGTTCGAGAAATGGAATAGATATGGACTACAAGTTGATATTTCCCATTGGAAAATTCACACAAAAAGGAACAAGGAATTCTCAATGAAAAAAGCGCTCTCCAAATCTGTTTAGTATTTGTCATGAGGTTCTTATCATAATTGGATTTTCCTTTTAGGAAAAGGTAAACACAGTCTCCATATTTGTCTAGTTCTTTTTCTTGTAGGAAAAAAATTATGACTCTATAAATAGATGTTTTGTAACATCCGACAATTTGAAATAGCTAAGAAGAGGCTTGAAATTTGGAAATTTTCAATTTTTGGAAAGGATTTGAAAATCTGGAAAATTTGGCTAAGTATGGGAAAGGTGAGTTTTTTTGGGCCCAAACTTTGAACAACCATAAATTCTAGCTCAGGATGAGTTAGGTGGAGTTCCGGTTATGTTTGCATAGCCCTCGGAACGACCTTTCCAACGCCACTGAGTTTGCTCAATTCTGAGTTCGTATGAGCGAGTTATGGCCATTGAAAGTTGGGCAGTTGGCAGGGAATCCGTCCGGAAAATTAAGGGCATTTTAGTCTTTTCCCTAGCCAATTCTTTTGGGATTATATTGTTGTATAGGGCTGATCTTTAGATCATTTTGTCCCATTTTAAGAAATTAAAATCTAGGGCTTGAGAGTGAAGAAGAGAAGAAGGAGAAGAAGAAGAGAAAAATCGAGGAGATCAACAAGTTTCCGACAAGATCATCGTGAATGTTCGTCGGGGGTGATCCCTATCAAGGTATGTGAGCTTTTAGTGTTGGGTGATACTTTCCCCCACACACCTAGCCCCTTTTATTTATTAAGGAAGGATTGGTTATGTTGTTAAAGTTGTTAGTTGTTGTGGTTGAAGTTGTTGGAGTTGTTAAAGTTGTTAGTTGTTGTTGTTGGAATTATTGTTGGTGGTGGGACATAATTGAGTTGTGTTTTTATGTTGAAATCTATTGAATGTTGAGGGATTTTATGTTTCTAAGTGATTGGGGGCTGGAATCTTTGAGGTTAGAGGGTTTAGAGTTGGTAACGTGAAGGAGAAAGTCGGGTAGCTTGCGAGGAGCATGTCTGCGTCGCGGACTTGTTCCTCTGTGAACAAAAAATCTTCTCCGCGTCGCGGACAGGACGCAGACTCCACTGTTTTCAGAATTTATGTTCGAAGATTTTCTTAGGTTTGGCTGTCCCAAATCATTCGCAAATCATTCCTAAACATCATGAGACCCTTCCAAACACCAATCAAGTCCTTGAATCCATAATCCAATTCAAGGTGAGTTATGATCAAGTCAAGTGAAGTTAGTTTTCAAGTCAAGTGAAGTTAGAAGTCAAGTGAAGTTAGAGCCAAGCTTAGAAGTTAAGCAAGTCAAAGCAAGTCTTTAAAGCTTTTCAAGAGTCTTCATTGAACGTTTTGACTTCATTCTAAGGCTCAAGTTCCAAGTTAAGTATAGAGTTTCAAGTCAAGCAAAGAGTCTCAAGTTTCAAGTTAAGTAAAGAGTATCGAGTTTCAATTTAAGTCATAATTTTTCAGTCAAGAGTCAAGAGTTGAGTTCAATTCTCAAAAGTAATTAGGGAACTAAGTATTTCCCAAAGAAGTTTTATAAGTGTTTTCACATTTAAGTTGAGAGGAAACGGAGATTTCCAAAAGAGTTTTGAGAAGTTTGAGCACTATCTCTTTTAAAAGAAAAGATGAGTTTTTGAAAAAGAGTTTCTAAATTATGATTAGTATGACAAATGGAGTATGTCATCAATGTTTAAACAGTATGGTCTCTAGATATACCATCAATGTTTAAGCAGTATGAATATCCCGAGTCATCAATGATCATAAAAAAAAAAAATGTGGTTTTGACTTGTTCTATTTAGAAAGAGTTTTCAAGTGCCTTCGGGCTAAGTTTTGAGTAATTATCTCAACTAAAGAAAGATGTGCTTAAAACACTTATGAGCTAAAGTATTTTGGGAGTAGTATCGAGCACCGAATTGGGGAAACGAGTTCATATTAAACTCAACTCTCCATAAGAACCATGTAGCCAAACATGGGATTTCTCGGATCATACTTTTTAGATGATCACGAAAGTTAAGCTAGTGGATCCATTAAGCAAAAGTTAAAGTAAGGTCCTATATCGATGGCAAGGTATAGGATGGTCCTTGGGCAACGTGAGGTAAAACGTTGTATCACCACTCAGATTCATAGTGGTGGTTTGTCGGTTAGAGAAGCTCCCACAGTAGAAAGAGCATGGTTCCTCGAGGGTTCTGCTTAGTATGGATGGGGGTATGGGACTTCATTCATGCATTGCACAAGTAGACTTTGAGAGGAAGCATGGTATTTTTATGATATTATAAATATGATTTTTACGTCATGTTTTAATAGTTTCAAAAGCTTTATATATATTGCATGTGTCTCATTGCTTTATATTAAGTTCAGTTATTCTTGAGTTGTACAGAGCCAAGGTAAGTTCTCTTTTGTATCCCTTTTCAAGCTTAAGTTGTTGTTTAGCGGTCCAGCTCGCATACTCGTACATTCCATGTACTGATGCCAGTTGGCCTGCATCTTATGACGATGCAGACAC